GATGCCGTTCATCGTATTTCTTTTTATTATATGCCTGCAATTGTTTATCCACTATTCGTGCAAGATCTTGAGACTCTCGTCTTTCAGCTTTAACATCGCGATCTATATCGCGTAACTTATCAATAAAATCGCGTAGCTGCTGATCAGCCATTCGATTCTGCTCAAAACCTAAAAAAATTTTACTCGGTGTCGATCCGACCGCTTTATTTAAAGTATTATTAATAACGTATTGTGCTTTACCCAAAACATTTTTCCAATCCGCTAAGTCATCTGAAAGTTTAGCCAAAGTAGACTTAAGAAAGCGATCAACCCGCTCAACTAAACCATTTGCCCACGGAGAAGCAACTGCAATTTTAACATGCTTAATGTTGTTAACTTCCATGAACTGCGTGAAGTCATTCGAGGTGAAAGCAGTCCCCCTGTCACTAATTATACGCTTCGGGTAGCCAGACATATTGAACACTGTGCTTAAATGTCCAATTGATTCATTAGTATTAGTAGTTTTTGTTGCGAATAACCAAACAAAACGCGAAAACGCGTCAATTATGACCAGAATATGTTTGAACCCGTCCATCGTTTTCTCTAAGGGCCCAAAATGATCAATATGCAGTGTTTGTAAGGGGACTTGATCTCTCTCGAATACCTCCATTTCCCCCTCAGGCTTACCCGCCTTCGCCGAAAAAGTCAAACATTTAACGTAATTGTCCAAATATTGACGCACCTTCAATTTTAGACACGGAAACCAGTAATAAGACAGAATGCCAAACATTGTTTTATCGAAACCCACATGACCGAGGTCATCATGGTAGATACGTATTACATTACTAATGATATTCTCTGGAACCACGAACAATTTTTTATCCTTATAGATTCTAAACAGCAATCCGTCAATCAATGTAAAATATTTATTACCCTTAAGTTCAACACTTTCTGCAATTTGTTTAAGTTTTTCATCGGACAACTGTTTATATAAAAGCTCGTCCTCCAGAGAAATTACATTTATTAACATTATGTTGCGACTCAAACAGTCCACATGCGTCATTTTTTCCGAAGTTCGATGAATTAATTCAAATCTATAGTTCTGTAACAACAACGTCCATCTCTTTGGGTTGGGGGCTATCTTTGGGTTTATATTTATCTTTTTCATTGCTAGAACTAAAGAGTTACAATCTGTCACCACACGGAAGGTGATACCTTGCAAGTATACATGAAATCTTTCTACCACCTTTACAATGGCTAATGTTTCCAATTCATAGCTATGATAACGTTTTTCCGCGTCGACTGTTGCCCTGCTAAAGTACGCAATGGGTGCCCAAATGCCAGATTTTTGCTTTTGAAGTAATATAGCTCCAAACCCCAAAGCGCTCGCGTCTGTATGCAACTCTGTTTCAGCCGAAGGATTATAAATATGCAATACTGGCGCCGATGTTAATTCTCCCTTCAACAATTGAAATGAATCTATACATTCACTGTTAAATACAAAGTCAGCATTTTTTTTAGTTAATTGAATAAGAGGTTTAGCTTTAATTGCATAGTCTTTTATGAATCGTCTAAAAAAACTCGTAAACTCAAGAAAACCTCGCACTTGCCTTATATTAATCGGTTGAGGAAAATCCAAAATAGCTTGAATGTGGCGTTTGCACATAGTAATTCCCCCAGCCAACACAGAATATCCCAAGAACTCAATTTCCTTCCTCAAAAATAAACACTTTGCCCAATTCAATTCTAAACTATATCTTTTCAAAATTGTTAGCACCTCTTTTATTATCACTAAATTTTCATCAACCGTTCTCGTCGAAATCAAAATGTCGTCAATATACAATAAAATTTTGCCCGATTTTAATAAATCTTTTAATATAAAAAAAAGCCTCTTCTGAAACTCTGCGGGAGCTTCCGAATAACCAAAAGGCAATCTTTTATATTCATATTGCGCATTATGTGTTGCGAACGCAAAAAATTTAGTATCTTTCGGGTGTATTCTGATCTGGTGAAAACCGTCACGCAGATCCAACTTCGTAAAGATGCATTTATCGTGCAACTGATCCAATTGATCATCTATTAACGGAAATGGGAATTTTTTAGGAAATATACGCTGATTTAACGGGCGCAAATCCACGCACATACGCCTATTACCATTTTTTTTTGTTACCAAAACAACTCGTGAGCAATAAGGCGAGACGCTGGGCTGAATAATATCACGCTTCAAGAGATCCTCCGTGATCTCGACTTCTTTTTTTTTCATTAAATGACATTCTCCTTGGCGCCTAAAGAGCGACTCGTCCTTCAGATGTACTCTAACACAATAATCATCATTTATTGGTTCGACTATCAATTCACTCACTTCTTCCAGAACGTTTAGCAAATTCTTTTTGTCATTAATTAATAAGTCTGCTTCTAAATTCTCTAAAACTTCGTCAAAAGGTTCTTTTTTTTCTATAGCATTAATAGATAAGATTGAACTCAGCTGCGCGTTCGTTTCTGGCGTATAACTGAACTCATAGTTTCCTCTTTCATAAATAACTCTAATATTCGACTGAATCCAGAATTCACGGCCGATTAGGATATCATGAACCATAGTGCTGTTGTCTACTACATACAGCACCATATCAAAATAATGACCCGGAAGTTTCTCCAACATGACTTGCGCAAAAATTTTACCATATACCGAGATTATTGATCCATTAACTCTGCTAAACTGTAGACTGTCTTTTACCTTAAATAAGGCTTCGCTTCGGCAGAAGTCTCGATGGACGGATTTTTTTATCAAGTTAACCGGGCTTCCCGTATCGACCAGTGCCCAAAACGACACTTGACCATTGACAATACTGCGAAGCATCACACAAAGCTCATCTCTACGCATACTCGCACATTGGCTAATCTTATTTACAGATCTATCGACTATATTTATTTGTTGTGAAGTCTGCGCTTCCTCTTGCGTTACGTGATTCAAGGTAGAAGAGACTCTATAATAAGAATCTGGACATCTGGTCGCACGTTTTTGATTGGCCGCCGCCATTAATGGTCTAAATGAAGTAGGGGCGTGCGACGCATAACCTGTAAGTGACACTTACCCGTAATTTCCTGTGATTTTCTGCGCGCAGTGGTGCAGTGTAATTGTTATATTTGTATATTTAGTGAGTGAGAACAACAACCAAAACAAAAATTGTTAGATCAAAGTAAGTTTTTAGTTTCATTATAATAAAATCCGTTAAATCGCAATCAAATGGCAATGTTTTGCGATTCTACATTAATCAATTTGAGTCATTAATCGTAGGTGATCACCTTAGAACATATATACTGGAAGGGGCATAGCCTATCTAAATATACATAACAAAAGTGTCCCCTACATCTATCTATCCTTGTTTGTACGAAATCGGTCAATGCGCTTGCGCGAATGAATAACCGCTTAAGTTGAAAGTAGAAAGATTTAAAATAGGTGGAAGGCATTTAAAAATTTGATTATAACAATTTATTCTTTAAGTATATTATAATATAATTGCAATATATTATAAATTATATATAATAATATGTAGTAATATGTAATAATAGTCTTGCAAAATAAAATAAAAATAATGATGCACATAACCAAAAACAAATACTGTAATGAACAATAATTATATACAGGATGTACAGGATGAACTAAAATAAGATAACAAACTTTGCGGAGCGAAACCAAACATGAAAAAAATTTGACATCAACATATGTCCGTCAAACCTACTGTTACTGATATAAATATATATTATTAATAAAAATAAAAAGTAATATTTATTATTATGTAATATTCTCGCTCCTCTAAAGTTTGTTATCTTATTTAATTATATCTTGTATATATAGTAACTAGTACAATAAAATTATTATAATAAATAATAAAAAAATATTTAAAAACTTCATTGATGTTTAAATAGTATTAGTTTTGTATACTTTTTTATGATTATTTCTTTAGACTTAATTATATTGGAAGGCTTGTCATAGATAAGCTTGTCTAGTTTGTCATCACACACATCAACATAATCGACGCATGCGTATTGCAATAAAATGTACAGACAAGGATAGATAGATGTTGAGGACAACGGCAAGTCAGCTATGCCCCTTCCAGTATATATGTTCTAAGGTGATCACATTGCGGCGTGCCATAATTTAAGAGCGAAAATTATTAAGAGATTTGCAGCGTTTAGAATAAAAATAGCATGTAAGAAATACCAGCCTAAGAAAAGGCACTACGATAGTAAAACTATGGCTATGCACAGTGTAAAAAAAAATAAAATATTTTTCAGTAACATATTTATCTTTCACTTCTAATTATATTATTTATATTTTATTAATTTGCAATAAATCTACTTTATTTTTATTCATTTAAGCTTTTTTTAACAAAAGAAATTCATTTTTAGCTTTAAAATTTTTTTTATTAATATCTATTAATTTGTTTTTATTTTAATCTGTTATAATACTCAATAAGTACTCATTCATTTGTTCATATTTATTTTATCACATTCTGATCTGAATTTTCTATCTATAGTAGTAATTATTTTCTACAAACGTCTACAATAATAAAAAAAATAAAAATTAATAAAAATAATAAAATAAAATAATAATAATGATAATAATCTAATTAAAATCTCATATTTTTCATTGGTATAGTTACATCCTGGTACATCCCAAATAAATACATATATTAATTAACACATTTCAAATTTGTCGCACTTTCTATCCCCTCCAATTTTAGACCATTAATGGACGCTCCACCCTCAGATGTCCAGACTCTTATTATAGGGCACGGACTAAGGAATAGAGGGACTGAGTTTAAAGGCCTGTGTCCACGATCCGAGAACTCGGTCCGGTTTTTCGGATAGAACTTTTATCACCAGATGTTTGTCCTCTATTGACTGCAGATGGTGTTATAATCGACTACATAAAGTTAGACTCGTAATTTTAGTTGAGTACCAACATTTTTTTGTGTACAATTAAAAAAACAGGTTATAAATTATATGATCATAACTTATAAATATTTTTGGAAGGATATAAATGTTGAATTATAACCGTAAGTTTTATTTTATTATTAAGTTTTATTTCTAATTGTACTGGCATAATATAATTAATTAAATATTTTTAATTGTTTAGGTTTTTGAGTCTTGGTGCCATCCAATTGATTTAAATATTTTTTTAAAAATGAGCAATAAAAAACGGAACTAAAAAATTAATAACTATTGCATTATTAACCGAAGCCGTTGAACAAGAGGAATTAGAACAAAAAGAAGTCAAACAGCAACAACGTCGTCGATCGATTTGGACACG